GCACGAACCCGCGTCCCCTGCATCGGCAGGCGGACTCTCAACCACTGCGCCACCAGGGAAGCCCTCTTTCTTTCTTTTTTGGCTCCTTATTAGTTCATAGAGTTGAAAACTTACACCAAATAATGAAAAGCTTCCAAAGGCACCTCCATCCTTGTCCCTCCGCAGGACAGCTCTGTGCCCAAGGACGCCCCGCACAATGAGGGTCATTCTGGAAGCCGAGAATGACAGAAGTGGGCTTTTCTATCTTTGCAGCAGAAGTGGGGGGCTAGTCAGAAGAATTAGAGAATATAAAGAAATCAGTGTTTCTTGCACACTCGACTTCAAGCTCCGAGATTCAAACCTGTAAACCCCCATCAGCAGCCCAGTGAAGACGAGGTCGTTGTCTGCCTGCTTCATCACCCAGGGGCGTGAGACCCAGAAGCCTCCCCCCTGAGAGGGTGAACCTGGACATCTTGTGGACCACCCCAAAGCAGTGACCGCTATGTAAACCCCATGTGCTTGATTTGTGAAGTTTTTATCATCATCGTGATTAGGAAGGTCTGTGTGGCACTGGGATACACAGGAGAGAGTGCAGAGGGATTGCGAGGTGGTGGTTTAGCTCATCCAACCACAACTGTACCCTCCCTCTGAGCACTTGGAGAACTTTTTCTGTTTCTTCAGCATGGGTGGGGTGAGAGGACGCCGCTGGGGGGCCCCCCTCGACTGCCTGGACCAGCTTCTTCAAAGTCAGAGCACCGTTGGATACACCATCTCTGGATACTTGACTGTGCCTGGTGGGCTTGGGGGCTCTCTGGTTTTTCCTTCCTGTTAGTCAGGGCAGGACCCACTGCCTCCATTTGCAAAGCTCCCCTCCCCACTCCACTTGATCAAAGGGAGAAAAAGAGAAGCTGAATAAGACCTGCACCAAGGGGTGGATGTCACAAATCCTTACACCCTGGCCTCTGTATAAGCAGCTGGAAGTGCTTGGAAGGACTGGGGGTGGGGTGGGCTGAAGACCGAGCGGCCCCAGAGATGTGCACATCCTAATCCCTGGACCTGTGACTACGTTACATCACATGGCAAAGGGGACTTTGCAGGTGGGATTAAGTTATGGGTCTTGAGATGGGGAGATAGTCCCAGATTATTGGGATTATTGGGTGGGTTCAGTGTGATCCCAGGGGAATTTACAAAAGGGAGACAGGAAGGTCAGAAGCAGAAGGCAATGTGACTGTAAGTAGAGGAACAGGGAGATCTGAAGGGGCACCACTGCTGCCTACGAAGACAGAGGACGGTGCTGTGAGCCAAGGAATGCAGGCGCCTCTAAAGCCTGGAGAAGCAGGGAAGCAGACTCTCCCCAGGGCCGTGGAAGGAAAGGAACCCGCTGGCCTATTTCAGAACTGCTGACCTGCAGGACTGTAACAGAGTAAACACGTGTGTGCTTAACAAGTTGTGTCTCTAATCAGTACTATGCAGTTACTTGTTACAGCAGCAACAGGAAGCTAATACCTGGTCTGTGGTCACCAGGTCTGTTTCCCGGTTTTGATGTGGTAGGTGGTTTTCTTGCACCATTTTATTCAATATTCCACCTCTTTTGGCCTATGTGGACATAGCCAAAGAGTGATTGAAACAGAAAAAGAAAAAAACGATTGGGAACTTGATGAATAAAAACATACAAAGTAAAGTAGAATTTTCTGTGGGGTCAGTGTCATGGTTCCTCATTCCCCTCCAAGCCACATGGCCAATGCACATGGTACAAGGTGGCATCCCCACAGCTAAGCTCACAGGATGACGGTCCACAGAGGGCAAACACTCTGGTATCTAAAAGTGCCTTTTGTGTTTCTACAAGTCACATTAGGGGAGACTGTGACCTCTTCGAAATAACAGTATCTTACAGCCACTGCGAAGCGTTTCCCCTCTTCATCATTGTGAATTATGCAAACATAGAGGTGGCTCTTAGTTGCCCAGGATCCAGTTTCTCCAGTTAAACGCTGAGTTTGAACCATGAGTCAGCGTCTTCACGGGAGGGTTCACCAGCTCCCATTTTCCTTCTTTGTTTTCTTCTAAGAAGCACATACCCAGAGAAGGGATCTAGAACAGAGGTAAATCACTTATTATTATTTTATACCAGGTCCATGGATTTCAGACTTGTTCCAAAGGCAACAGCCTTGGAGGCTGGCGTGACGTACTCACGATGCCTTGAACGCAGCACTAACATCCAACACAGCAGCCCTCAGTGGGGACTCCCCGCCCCTCCCACGGGCAGTGGGAAATGTCTGCAGACCTTACTCTTTGTCACAGCTGGGGGTGCTACGGCATCTCAGGAGTAGAGGCCAGGGATGCTGCTAAACATCCCACAATGCACAGGACAGTCCCCAGAGCACAGCATCGTCCTGCCCAAATGTCAACAATGTTGAGGCTGAGAACCCCTTCTGTCTACCTACTGCTTCAAGAGCGGCTTCCATTCTCGAATTCAGCGTCACAAATCGATACAGGTATTGTGTTTTTAAACCCAAGATTAAAGGACAAAGCGAAACTTTAGACCTCAATTCCCTGTAAAATAAATGGTTTGGAGCAGATCTTTGTTTTTAAGGCTTTGTTTGTTTACATGTTCTGCTTTCCTTTTTCCCCCCCTCTCTTTTCAATGTCCGGAAATTCCTTGCTTAGAAGAAACGTGCAAAAATTCCAACCTGGGGGGCAGGATGCAAGTGGGGGCTGGCGTTGACTCAGGGACACTCTCTCCTTCTGTGTGTAGAGACCGGGGGGGGGGGGGTGGGGAGGGTTCGGGGATGAGTGTGATGGGGGTGGGCTCCTGAATGTCCGTTTTCAGCTGCCCCTGACTTTAAGGCCCATCGTTGGTTGGTAAAGCCCTTGATGAATTTCTGATATTAACTGGCAAGTCCAGCTAACTTGGGGATGGCGTGGGGTGGACTCTAAATCCTCAGCGTAAGAAAGTGGCGGGAGTGTGGAAGTTCAAGGCTGGCATCTTGAGAGGGGAGGCCAAGGGTCAGGGGGGTGGGTGGGAATTTGGCCACAAAGACTAATGGGATTTCGGAACCGTGTCAACATGCAATTGACATGCAGTCTCAGTCAGCGTCTGGCGTGTGCAGCACTGCTGTCTGCGTGGATGACGAGGACCCCCAGGGGGCCCCGGGGTGGGAAGGGATGCAAGAATAGGAGCGGCCACATCGGAGTACGCGCGGACGGGAGACGTGGTGATGTCAGCAGGAGCAATGCCCTGAGTAGATTTAGGGGGCAGGGATGGGGGCGGGGTCTGAGTCCTGAGTTTCCCGCCTCCATTCACCTTGCCATCTGGATAAAAGCCACCTCTGCTTTGCCGGGTGATGCTCCACAGTCTGGTCCAAAGTACCCGTTATCTTTCTCTACACATCCGTCACCTGCTTGCTTCTTCAGTATGTGTTTATACGGCCCCGGCCTGGCACCAGGCACCCCAGCAGCTTTGACCAGCTCGTATGTTCCGAGGCTGGATGACTCCAAAGGCAAGAGGGAAGGGCTCCCTTCTGTCTGTCAGCAACCCCCCCTCCCGCCCCCTGTCCCCAGAGCAAGTGAGCCCAGCTACCCCTTTCTCTTCTTATCCAAATGTCTCGCCCCCCACTGGACCAAGGGCTCAACTACCGGAGCGACAGGAATTATCATGTGACCTGATAATAAAAGTTCTCTGTCTCGTTTTTTATATTATGTGGGTAGCAAATGGCCACAGTTGCCATAATGATAAAGATGACAAATCTCCCCGTCTGCTCCCTCCCCAAGGCTGCCCTTTGCGTCAGAGCAGGCGGGCACATTCTCAGGTGACATGTGGGTCCCTGCTGCCCTGGGTTGTCAGGACGCTTGTCTTCGTCCTGAGAGGGGCGTGTGGTGACGCTGCATCGTCGGGCTGCCTGTTTCTGTGGCAGAAACACGAACAAGGGGGCGCATACCTTCCTCACTAGCTGGGTGAACACTGTGCAGTCCCGGGGCGGCAGCCCAAGGAGTGGGCGCGTGCAGGAGTCCAGCGCCGAGCCATGGCCCACGACCAGGATGACGCCCACTGTGGGAGAAAGGACATCCCGAGGTCACAGCAGGCACAGCAAACGCGTCTTATTAGACGGGGCGGGGCGGGGGGCAAAGTTGTCGGGTGGAGCGAGCTCGTGGTGCCCCGAGGCCTTGAGGGACCCCGGGTAGGAGGGAGGCGTGGTTGGTAAGAGCTCATTAACACTGGCAGTCGGCCTCTCGTTTGCGTAGTTCTTCTGAGCCCGTGGCACCCTGTGCAGGGCTCGGGTGGCTGCACCCGCCCGCAAGCTTCAGGGATGGGCCGGTGCCGTGCGCTGAGCAGCCTCGTCCAGGCCTTGTCTGTGAGCTTGCGAAAGATCAGCTGCTCAGTGCCAAAGGGGCCACGGATGACTCTCTCTTTACAGAAGGACCTCCAGAGTCCAGGGCCGAGTGAGTCTCCTAAAGGTGACAGGCGCGGGCAAGGCTGGGAGTTAGACCCGCGGGTGAGCCAGGGAGGCCCCGAGGCCGGACCCAGCCCGCCACCTGAGGACGGAATCAGAGCCCGAGCTTCCCTGGAAAGCTGAGAGTCACAGAGCGATCTATTCATTTGCCCCTAATGTGGCTATAAATTCTCCGGTGTGACACCCAGAGCCAAGCCCCCACCTGCTTCTCCTGTGTTATTTCTGAGTAATTTCACACTCATTTCTTTGGCCTCCAAGGTCATGGTGAGGTTGCCGGACATGCAGGTTTGACCCCTGGCCTGGGCTCTCCAGCCGGGCCACCTTGGCACGGCGACCTCCTAGACACTCTGAGCTTCCGAGTCACATGGTGTCAGTGGAGGTGATATCTCAGGCCACACGGGAGGGTGAGGACCTAACAGGTAAAGCCTGTGAAGGGTCACCAGTGCCGCAGGGTTGGCAGGTGTGAGTTTTTACCCTCCAGCCCCACTGGACTTTCCGTTGTTCTGTCCGCTGGATCCACACGCCTCCGCCTCCTCCTGGCCCCGCCTTTGCCTTCCAAACCCTACTCATTCCACTGCTCAGGTGCTGCATCCTGGGTGCCTCAGCCAATTGCCACAGCCATGGGTGGATGGGTCTGCATCCCTGCAGTAGGCAGCGGCCGCCTGTGTCAGAGGCAGGGGTCAGTAGACCCCAGAGGTAATGAACCAATTGTTCTGCGTCCGCCTCCAGAAGCCCTCAGGACCGTAGGGAGATGCTTGGAAGGGAGGACATCCGTGGACACTGAATTTCAGCCTGGGCCAGGTGGAGACAGGTGGGCCAGGGTGGGGCCTAGGTGCAGGAAAGGCCCTCATTTCATTCTGTCCTCTGATGGCCTGTAGCAATAATTGTGAGCAACGTGAAACTGATAATGAATCAAAGGCCACTAAGGTGTGGTTTCCAAAAGCACCTTCCCCAGGGTGCCCATCAGTCAAAACAGGTCACATAGACCCGTCTCGTGGCCGGGTGTGCATGTGGTGCTGGACACCGCAAGGTTGAGGTCTCAGAGCACGTGCCCCACGGTGCACTGGGGACTCTGGCGGGAGGGCAGGGGCTCAGCTGTCCCTGAGGTCCTGGTCATCAGCGTCTTTGGTCCCCTGAGCTCCTTTGGATGAGGGATGGAAAGAACGATGGTGGGGCAAGTGGGCCGGGTGGTCCCTTAACGACTCCTTCTGAGCTCTTTTTCATGTTATTTAATATTCCTAATATTCCAGACGTTTGCGCCTTTTCCTCCAACAGTATTCATACTCTTTGAGGGTAGAACGTGTGTCTTCTTTGCTTAGATTTTTCCCATGATGCTTTATTTGGTACCTGACACGTTGCTGATGCTCAATACGCACTTGCTAACTTAAATCTTAGAGGATTCATTTTTCGAGTTTTACTATGGACGTTTTCATATATACCCCAAAAGCGGGTCTGATGAATCCCCGTGCTCCCATCAGGGAGCTACAACGGTTGTTGACATCGTTTGTTTTCAATATCTGTGAGTCTGCCTCTTTTTTGTTATATTCACTAGTTTGTTGTATTTTTTAGATTCCACATATAAGTTTGTCTTTCTCTGTCTGACTAATTTCACTTGGCATAATGCCCTTCAAGTCCATCCATGTTGCTGCAAATGTCAAAATTTCATTCCTTTTTTATGGCTGAGTAATATTCCATTGTGTATATGCACCACAGCTTCTTAATCCATTCATTGGTTGATGGACACTTAGTGAAGCATTTTAAAGCACATCCCAAACATCAGGCCATTTCACAGGATATACCTCAGTTTTGCATCTCCAAACGAGGACTTTTCATTCTTACACAACAACCATGCTATTATCACACCTCACAAGATTAGCATTAATATTTCTTGAATACTTCCATATTCAGATTCCGGATTTAAATTCCATGTTCAAATTTCTTTAATGGTCTCAACCATCAACTTAAACAGATGCTTTGTCCGAATTGTCATTTAAATATGACCCAACATTTGGCTGTTTGGCCCTCAGTTTCTTTTGTTTCCTAGGAAGTGGGCGTGGGTGGTCTGTGTTGACCCTTCTGTTCTGGATCCCATCAGCTCTTGGTTCCGAAATCAGGGGCCCCAGGGCCTGGGTCAGGGGGCACGTGTCTATGCAGAGGCAGCAATGTAGCACTCCCGTGCCAGGGAAATGGGGCAGGGGATTCTGGGGCATCCCTAGGTTCAAAAATCAATCATTTCCATCCCGGAGGTGAGAACCCAACCCCCAGGGCGGCTGGTACCCGAGGACGATGGGGGCACTTACCATCCTGCGGGCGGATGCTGACCATCTGTTCCATGCTCACCGCACACCTATGCAAGTAATCCTCGTAGCGCTCGGCGGGCAGGAGGGAGGGAAGGGGGAAGGCGGGCCTGGAGGAGGGGGAGGGGAACAGAAGGAAGGAGACAGCTCGCCTCTAGCCAGGGCTCGTGGTCAGCAGCAAGCCTCCAGATCTGTGCTCAAAACCAGCAAAGAGCTGGTGTTGGGCCTCCAGCGTGCCTTCTCACTGAGCACCAGGCACACAGGCTTGTGGCGCAGACAGCCACGGGCAGAGGGAGATGCAGGTTCTCTGGCTGACGAACTCTAGCCAGATTGACTGACCCTATTCTCAACGGGCCCTACCTGTGGGCTTCACATACAACCTTGTGGACTCAGTTTAGCCAGAATCGCCCACCCCCTTTCTGACCACTCTGGATATCCGAGCAAACTCGGCTTCCCCCTCCAACCCCAGGAGGTGTCTGATCCCCTGGCCTGCCTGCAGCAAGGATCCTTTTAGGTTCTGTTTAGCAAGAATCACCCTGTTCTCTTTTTTTTTTTTT